ATCAGTGGCAAAGCCAGCACTAAATGGCCATTCCTAATTGTCCTTTAGACGATGGTGATCAGCTAATTTCTTTGATATAACATAGTCATTTGCTTGGCCATTTTGGGAGAGCAAGTGACAGATGACAGTTGGGAGTAACAGATAAACCAGGCTGGATAAAGTGAGGAGTAAAGTTCCCTTAAGGTCATTAGTTGACCAGATAGATTTTTCTAACAATCCAGTAGTTACATGGGCAGCATTAACAGTATTATATTTTTGTTTCAAGTTGATTTCTTGTCTGAATTTAAATTGGATTGCTAGTCCTGGTTTCGGGATTATTAGACCACTAATATAGACACTAAGCTATCATTTTTTACAATGCCCCTTACTCTTATTACCCAGCAATATTCAGGAGCACTGTGGACTTGTGGCTAATATACTACTGTCACCTGCACACACACCTTCCAATGATGGTAGCATAAAACCAAGAGATATTGAGTACACTGGGACTATACTCATGGGAATTTAGAAGAATGGGGTGGAGGGGGGATCTTGTATAAACATATAAAATCATGCAGGGAATAGATAAGATATAAGCAGGGAGGTTGTTTCCACAGGCTGGTGAAACTAGGACTAGGGGCATAGCCTCAAAATAAGGAGAAACAGATTTAGGACATGAGTCAAGGAGGAACTTCTTCTCCCAAAGGGTTGTGATTCTGTGGAATTCCCTGCTCAGTGAAGCAGTTGATGCTACCTCGTTGAATGTTTTAAAGGCAAAGATAGAGAGATTTTTGAACAGTAACGGAATTAAGGGTCATGATGAGTGGGCGGTAAGTGGAGCTGAGTCCACGAAAAGATCAGCCATGATCGTATTAAATGGCGGAGCAGGCTCAACAGGCCAAATGGCCTACTCCTGCTCCTATTTCTTATGTTTTAACCCATCTCTTGTGCCTTCCATGTACCTCCAGTGACACATCACCCAGAGTGGCATATCATGAATGATATTCTGCCCAGCCCCCTGCAGGGCAAATTCACACATAACAAGAGGGTGCACAGAAAACTGGTGGAGGACGGGCAAACCTTCATTTGCTGAGATGAAAGAAGACATGGTGCTGTGAATCATAGGTCAGCTGAGATAGAGCCTATGACATCCTGTGCCACAAAAACCATTGAGGATAAAGCTAACTTATTGCCTGAGATGACTCTACTCCCTCCTCATCTAAATCTAAACAAGTAAAAAGGCAATACCAAACCAAGGAGAAGGTTCTAAGGTTCTTAGACACAATACTGGAGGCATTAGTAATTGAACAACAACAACAACAACTGAGAAAGGGTCGCCAGACCTGAAACATTAACTCTGTTTTTTCCTTCACAGATGTTGCCAGACCTGCTGAGCTTTTCCAGCAACTTTGTTTTTGTTCCTGATTTACAGCATCCGCAGTTCTTTCAGTTTTTATTGTGTTAGTAATTGAGTTGGACAGAAAAAGAAGGGCTATTTTCCTGCAAGACTCCAGGAGACCCTCAAGGTAAACCCACCAACTTTAATTGGAGCATCTAACAAGGGAGGTTAATGAAGTAAAACTATAGGTGATGTGATTATAAATCTGTTGCTTTCATGACTCATCATAAATCGCTCTTGCTTTTCTGCCTTCAGAAACCCAAGAATCATCACTTGGCCAGCTGTAACACACCCAGCCATATAAATAATGTGACAGCATTTAAGAGGCTGGGAATTCTGTGACAAGTAACATACTTTCAAATTTTGTCAGGCTTGTCCAACATATACAAGGCCCGAGTCAGGAGTGTGATGAAATATTCCCCTCCTGCTTGCATTAGAGTAATTCTGACAACAGTTAAGAAGCTTGACACCATCCAAGACATACCAGCCGACTTAATCAGCACCCAATCCACCAATCAAGACATTCATTCCCTCCATTGCATAGTGGCAGCAATGTGTACCATTTACAAGATGCACTGCAGCAACTCATCAAAAATCCTTCAACAGTACCTTTCAAATCTGCAAGCTCAATCATCTGAAAGGTCAAAAGCCTATGGGAACACCAGCACCTGGAGGTGGTGGCTTTCCTTCAACCACACACCATTCTGACTTGGAATTACATTGCCATTTCTTTGCTGTCGCTATATCAGAATCCTGGAATTTACTTTCTAATAGCAGTCACTTGCGCCAGATGAACTACCATAGTTACAAAGATGGCTTACTATTACCTTCTCAAGGGTAATTAGGTATAGGCAAAAACACTGGCCTTATAAGCGATAGCCACATGCCCCAAAAGAATAAATTTAATATAGAAGAAAAATGACTCCACCAGTGCCAGTAGAAGTGTGTATTGCTATTTAAACTGGCTTTCTTAGACTGCACATCTTAGAGAGTAGCATTGAGTTGAGATCAGTGCATAGTAAGTCATCAGGTGACTAGACTGTAGCTAGGTGCAAAGGAATAACTTGTGTCAACTGACCGGAGGGATTGTTGCAAATAGGTTCTGCTACAGGGGACTCAGATGAGGCATCCACAAATAGGACAATGTTGATGAGAATGAAGATGCTTGGTGCATCGGCAGACCTGCCTGATAGCCTCCTGTAATTGTTAAGGAACCTGGGGTAATCTAACTCAATATGGCAGAAAGTATCACACAGAACCTGGAGTCAATCATGGAAGTGGTAGCCAACTCAGCACCAGACTGAACATGACAGGAGTGATTAGTGGCTACTATCACAGCTTCCATTGCAGATAGACCATGGCAACCAACATCTCAGAGCTGTAGTGGAAGCTTAGGTGAAGATCATGAGATCCAGGCTTGCTGTGTTGCAAACATAGACTGCTGTCATCCTGAAGGTGGAATTCAACGCTCAAAGGGACATGAAGGGACTTACAGCTGCCCAGCAAACTGCTCCAGCAGATTACAAAGACTGTAAGTTGTTGCTCCATGGGAGTGCAGTAGCACAATGGTACATGCTATTGTCTTTCATAAGGATATGATTTGATCTTATATCGGAGTGGCTCAATCAGGGCTATTTGCTGATACGAGCAAAGCCAGATTGCTACTGCTCATGGTAAGATAATGAAATTCAAAGCTAGGGCTTCAAGGTTTGGAGTTACTCAAGGGATTCAGCAAGGCCATGCGCAATCTCTACAAGTAAAAGTCATCTGCCAACCATGCTACAGTAACTGGGATAATGCTGTTTTGGTGCACAAAAGCAGACAAGAGCATTTGCAAAACATTTGGAAAAGGATTGTGCAAGGATAGTCAATTATTTTACTTTGCTTTATTGATATATTGCTCAATAAAGTTGTTGTGATGGATTTTGCATTGATGTTTATTGCATGACTTAGCCTGAGGGAACATTGTTTTGGCAAGTCTAAAATGAATGTTCCACAAAAGAAAAGTGGATCTGTATTAGGACTGGGGAAGTTCATTTTAATTGAAGCAAAAACTCAGTAGGCAATCCCTCTTGCTTCATCTTGCTGTGATAGTACATATGGTCTGCTCCCCTCCTCCTCTCCCTCAAAGGCAGTGTCTAGATTCCAGCAGGTAATGGCTGAGTGTGCATAATTGTATGTTGTGTGTATTCAGTGTACCACCCCAAACATGAATCATCTCTTGGACATGTACTCCACAGATCTAAGATACTACCTGGCTACCAGACAATCTCAGTGGCAAAATCTCTCCTTTAGAAATCCAGCAGCCAGATCCGTATGTTGTGGGTAGCTTTCATAGAAGGCCCTCCAACAAGATATGGCAGGACATTGCAGGAGTGTCATGAGTCATGTGTGGAGTACATAACCCTTGTCAACAAGCAGCCTTCTTGTTGTCCACCTCTGAATGACTGAAAAAGGTGAGAATGGCTAAGTGCATCAAGATAAAAGCAATATGGATGCTGCAAGGTCAGTAGGCATTCATTAATTTATTGGTGTAATCGCACAATAACTGCACATTGACTGAAGTGAAGCCCTTACAGTTGCAGTATTACTCCCCATTGACTGAAGGGATCTGTGGAGTTACATGTGTGGAGTCGCTAGTGCTCTGCAACATCAGGCAGATCAATATCCTGGAAAATGCAAAAGCATTTTTATCCTGTTTTTTTTCCCCTCTTAGAGAAAAGAGGATGAAATCCCATCTCCTATTCTGATTGCTTTCTGAATACTTCAGTGGTAATATAACTGACATGTTTGCTTTCGTTGCCTGCTACTGCCTTAAAGAGAAATCCTGATATATAGAAAAGATGATGGTGATCTTCCCAGTCACTGGGAAGGCTATCTTTAGCCTAGTTTGAAGCACAAGGTCATTGTCGAGGAAATTGCTTTTGGCACACAACAATTTCGGAGTGTTGCTCCAAGAAGACAATCTCATGGTGAATCCTTTTGGGAAAGACCTTCTTCTCCTTCCTTGATGAAGAAATTCTGCTCTCTGACCCCTCCTTTGCATTGCCTGTTTTTTGCCAAAGCAAGTTACTGGATCTTGTATCAATGTAAGCCAATATTATTTTCAATCTTTCTGCAGTCTATACTCCTCCAGCAATTTACCAGAGTCTCCCCTAACTCTGCCTGAGCACTACTGATATAAAATCTCCTCAGATGCCATACAGCCATTGGATAAGCCTCATAAATGGGCCCATATTACTTCCAAATGTTTGTTCAAGAGTGAACTGCTGCCAATATTTGCTGCTCAATTATGATATCCTGATATTGCATCAGTTCATTGATGTCAGTCAGTTTACAACAGTGCATATTCAGTGACTTGCAGTGCACTCAGAGATGCACTTCTGTCTACCATCCTAGTTGACTCTTGTTCTGGGGAGTGCGCAATAAGCATCCAGCATGCCCTCCTGTGCTACAACTTTGCAGTTAAACCTGTGGACCACTACTTCATAAATTAATTTAATTTTTCATTAATAAGTATTGTTTGCCATTTGTGGATTAAAATATTGAGTTAAATTTTGAATGACATAGTACATACTAACATATATACCAAACATACTATGATTTCAGAAGATATTCTTACCAGGAGAAATCCCAGCATGAGGACTATTGTGGCTCGCAGGTACGAATAGCGGTACTGTGTCGGTGGCACATCAGGGTCATATATTAGCCCAAGAGCAAGTTCCTCCTGTATATAAGATAAATATTTCGAGTGGATTTTTCTCTTTGCCGACTAATGCTGAAGGTTCATTAACTTAAGTCCTGCACTGTTAGTCAACATGAAACCTCTACTCATTTTGACAGTTGATTTTTAAGTGAACATACTAACGCATGAATTAGCAGTAGGAAATGGTCATTCAGTCTCTCCAGCCTTTTCTGTCATTCAACAAGATTATGACTGATCTGACTGTAGCCTCAACTCCACATTCCCACCTACCCCAATAATCTTCAACTCTCTCGTTAGTCAAGAATCTATTGTTACAACTGTGACAGGAGGAATGCACTAGTGACGAAGTCCCACTACTCCGCAAGTTGCACCATTAGTATAAATGTTTAAGCTTAATAACCAAAAGGGCCATTTGTTACCACGATCCATAATAAAAGAGACTTTCACCAGGTTTCTTCAATTAACTCAAAATAATCTGTTCGTTATAACACAAAATTTATTCATAATTCAATTGGCAAAAACTGTAATCCAGAATTAGAACTAAATCCCTTTTAATCCCTAGGCCTGAGCTTTGGAGCTATGTTGGACCTGTACAGAATGTTTGAACTATAGCAGCACCCTGAATAGTGACTGCCCACCTGCAAGAATTGTTGCCTGTGGTCAAAAACAAGATAGATATTGAAGCAGTGAAATCCCTTCCTGTTCAGGACCCAGGCTGGATAATGCCATGAAACTCTGAGTATAACATATGTACAGTTGATGGCTCCTCATACCTGAGGGAAGCCAATAATGACAGCAAAGGCAATAGCTTTGGCACTTTTATTGTCTGGGTCCACGTTAACTGTACAAACCTAACAGCTTTCCTACTCAGGGCAACCGTGGAATTCACAAATACATTTGTGGGGCTGCCAAGTGAGAAGTGCTGCACAGGCCATCAGTTAGGCTTTAAAAAGGTGCTGATAGCTAATAGATTCAGTGCAATTATGATCTTCAGTGCCACAAGCATTGTGCCTCCTCTGAAGTCTATCAGCTGCAGATCTGCTTGCAGGAAGTGGCAGGTGAAGACGATGGCTTCCCTAGTTGTACAAAGATATCTCCTGTACTTTTGTTCATTCATCTAGAGGTGACAGTAATTCTTTTCTGTACACCCTTTCTTAGTAGAGTGGTTGACAATGCTGGTTCACCTCTTCAACTGTTCCTTGCTGATCCACAGATGAGGCCTCCGGAAACTTATGCTTCAGAATCTGCTGTTTATGCTGTTTCCTTCTTCGCTTCCTTCTTGTTCTTCTTCTTCACAGTCTTAACAATGCTAAGACTGGTGTGGGATCATGTTTGCAACATCTGGTATACAGAGCTGAATTTTGTGGCTTTTTGGCTCAGTGCATGTCACATCGAGTTTTTGAGGGATTCTTCCAGCAAGACATAGCGAGCTTTCTCACCGAATCTTACCAAACTCACCACACTAATTGCCATTTCTGCCTTATGGCATCTATCAGTTCAATTTCTTTCCCACGTACAATTCCTGGAACAATTCGTCATTCACCAGATATCCTGCAACTGACCGACATATGTAACGTAGGTGTCTTTTTTAAAAGGCTATTCTGCACCAGACAAGCACTGCTGGTCCAGGGCTGCCCTGTGCAGTTCCTAACATTTGCCCCAGACATGGCAGACAGGAATCAGTGCTCCGCTCCCCCTTTTCAGACAGAACCCTGGTGCTCCTGCTAGATGTGGTGGCACAAGTGCAGAATGTCCACTTTACCCCAGGAGATGCAATGGCGACCACATCACAATACTTTCCAGCCCTGTTCAAGCTTGTCACCCATATTCAAGCAATGCTAGCTGGCTGGAAGAATGGCACACAGATGACAATCTGCACACCCCAGATCCCCAGAGGCAATGTGAACCTCAAAGGTTTCCACTCCATCCATGTACAGCTGGTGGGCAGTCATAAAAAGCTGTTTTTTTAGGTATGAACAAAATTTGCAGGGATCTGCCGTGATTATTTTGCCCTGAGGTAATACAAGCACCGCTCTGAATCAATCAAAATAAGTGAGTCCCATGCATAGATCAGCAAAGTTGTGGAGAACACCATAGCACAGATCAGTACAGCAATGTAAAGTCAAGGTTAAGGCCTTCCTATTAAAGGGACCAAGTAGGATGATATACACAATGTGCCTAGACATTCTTTGCAGCATCATTACACTCATGCTTGAGTCAAACTGCTCTATTTTCTTTGTAATCATGGTCAATATGTTTTTATGACCTGTGGGTTCATCAAATAGTTTCTGCTACTCTTCGATAATTCTCCTTTTCCTTGTCAACCCCCGGGGTACAGCTCAGCAGATCTTGGTAGCAATTGTACACTTGTGAATAGTCTGCCATGAGCATTAGATCAACAAATTGCCTGACTGGTCCCAAGTACAAACATCTAAGTTGCTTCATTGTAAGTTTGAATTGTCTGACAGTGTCCTCTTAGAAGAATTCTGCTCTTCTGTGGTTCATTATTTGCAACGTCTTTGGAAGCTGATTCTATGTATGAATGCTTAGTCTATGGAAGCAGATACAATTTGGCCATGATGCAGTAACAATATGGCATATCTTTATGAAGAAGATAGTTATGTGACTGTGTTGGGTGTCAAATGGATTTTTGATATTTAAATGTGTCATCAGTCTCTGGAAAGATGCTATTTCCTTATCTCCAATGGCTATGAGTGCCAAGCATTTGCTGATCTCCAGGTATTCTTTTCTGCAGTTATTAGCTCAGAAGTCTGTGGAGGTCTACCTCCCCATCTCTCCTTTTCAGTCAGGTTCTGGACTCTCTTTTTGAAAGGCAGAAAGAGAAAACTTAATCTAAAATCACATATTCAGTCAATAATTGTAGTGCATTTGGTAGATATCTATTGGTAGAAGCAGAGAATTAAAAAACAGTGGGGGTGAGTGACAGTGATGGATGTACAGTTAAACTGTGAAAAATGATGTGGAAGAAAGGTAGGCGCACCTACAGTGTAATTGAGCATGAGTGTGATGTGATAGAGTAGGCTTGACGTCTAAGAGTGGCTAGAGATAGGTGTGAGGTTGATGCGTACGGTAGGCTATAAGTGAACATTGAACTGGATTGAACACTTTCCTGACTTGCTTAGGCCATTAAAGCACTCCCTTACTGACTCCTGAAACATTGGAACAACACTCCTGTTTCCAACCTCCTGGCCTCCTTCAGCCATGCTTTATGTGACAACACTAGATTTCCATTGTTGGGACCAGTATCTCTAATTAGCGCCTCACAGACCCAGCAGTATATCAATGAAGACTGACATGGGCACAGTCTTTAAGCATCCCAAATCCATTGTTACACTTTGTTTTCTTTTGCCTCCAATACCAAACTCCTGCGAGTTGAATTTTTTTTCTTGTATCACCTTCGCTTTTCAGTCTGTGCCCCCACCAATCATAGATCTAGAATACAGGCTAGTGGGATTTTTAAATTGGCCCTATCGATTATTCAACTGAAATTAAATCATGTGAGTCCTCACCATGCTCATTTTCACACAATCAATTAAAAATCCAGAAGTAAAAGGATAATGACCTGGTTGTGTTAAATGTCATTGACAAAGAAGCTTACTTCAGGATTTTCAATGTATTATCGAACCCATTATCATCATCTAAATACTTCTTCAAGTTAGTATCAGGGTCATAATCATAAGATATCACATTTTTAAAAACTGTGCTTTAATGTTATTGCACTTATCCACCAGTGAGCAAATCAGTTAAGGTTATTACCTCATCCTCATCCCAGTGGAACAAATCCCACTCGCTGACAACTTTTATTCGGGTTCGTTTCCACAGCTCCAAAAACACAGTGGCTACAATTTAAGAGAGAGATATTTGCTGAGATTGCCAGCACTTCATTCTTTAACTATAAATAATATTATCATGCTAAAGTACAATCAGTACAATTTTAAAAGGGTGGGTTTAATTTTGTAGTTTTGTAAAAATTTGTTGCTCAAATTCCCAAAGCAAATACATTTGGAATTTAATGTTATAACAAGCTGTACAGGCCAAAATGATCCCAGTCTATGGTGAGTTGGTTGATCTTAACTGCGGCAGTAGAGTCATAGAGTCATGTAGCATGGAAACAGACCCTTCTGTCCAACTAGACCATGCCAACCATATTCCCAAACCAAACTAGTCCCACTTACCTACATTTGGCCTATATCCCTCCAAACCTTTCCTATTCATGTACTTATCCAAATGTCTTTTAAATGCTGTAACTGTATCTGCATCTGCCACTTCCTTTAGCAGTTCATTCCACATACAAAGCAGTCTCTGTGTAAAAAAGTTGCTCCTCATGACCTTTTTAAATATTTCTCCTCTCACCTTGAAAATATGCCCCCTAGTTTTGAACTTCAGTTTGAAAGGGGAGGAAGGAAATCAACAATGATTTTGTTCACTGACACTATACTTTTCCCTCTGCTAAGAAGGGTAAAATATATGATACCTAAATAAGAACTGTCTCAGGCTCATAGTAATCCTGAGTTTCTTCAACAGTTCCTCCCAATACGACGACCTTCACTATCTAGATGGACAAGGGAAACAGGCACATGCAAACAAAATCACTTCCAAGTTCCTTATAAAAGCAAAGTCTCAACTTGAACATATATCACAGTCATTTCACTGTCACTGGGTCAAAATCCTAAATGTTTCTGTTTAACACCATTGAGGAAGTACTTCCATCATATTGGAGTGCAACAGTTCAAGAAGAAGGGCAATTAGGGTGGGCAATAACTATCAAAACTGCTAGAAATGCCCATGTACCAAGAGTTTTAAAAACACTGAATTATCAGTTGCCGCTCATCATCCACGTTTATTTACCAGGAATGAATATTGCCATAGGTAGCAGGGGATTTCTTCAAGGTGAACCCAAAAAGATTTACATAATGTTGCTGTCAAGATATTTCATAACTTTTTTAATGTTAGTAACCCATGTAAAATTTAATCTTGTATATTATACACAGTCTCCTTCACCTATAATCTCATTAATCATGTATCTATTTTAAACTCAGTACCAGGCTTTAATTTTGCAAATAAAAACAAAATTAATAAGGTAATGTTGTATAAGGAGAGTACCTACCCCAGATTCCCATAAACATAGCAAAGAAAACTGTTATTTCTTGATCAAACAGTTGTGTAATCTGCATGAAAAGAATGAGAAGTATTTGATCATCAGCAGCAGTGGACACTTGCAACAGCATATATTATGTCTTACACACTGACTCTCTATTTGTAAATTTTCCCTTAGCTATACTGAATCAGTAAGTGTAAAGTTACTTCCTGCTAGCTAAGCATATTGTCATTTCAACATCATAAGCACTTTGAGGTTCCTCCACCTGCTCTCCCATCAATCCCTCCACCTTTGAACAGTTCCAATGATGTAGGTATAGTATTCACTTGGTTAATGGAATTCTCAATTGTAAATCACCTAATGATGGGATCCAGGCATACTCCAAAATATCAATTTATTGTGACCCTGACGTTCCTCACTTTTTCAACACATTCAGTTATTGTACTGAAAAAACATCAAAGGAGTTGTATTTTAATATATTTCACTTCCTTTACACCATTTTTGTGTTAAGTGCAAATTTCCAGGAACTTTTAACAGAGAGGCTTCCTGGGTATTGTTACAGTTTTAAATATAGTCTAACAGCTACTAAGCATTTCAAATGGTGGACTTTAGATGTCTTAGTGGGAAAGTGTTGTAAATTGTTGTTAAGGAGATTGAAAGAGCGGACTTCAAAATTCTTAATACAATCATGCAGAGGCAACATGGGAAATCATGTTTGACAGCTTTATTAGAAACCTTTGAGGAAGTAACAAGCAATGTAGATAAAGAGAAACCAGTTTATACACTGTACTTAGATTTTCAGAAAACGTTTACAAGGTGCCACATTAAAGACTATTATGAAGAAAACGAATAGTGAGTAATGTATTATAACACAAGATTGTTTAGCTGATAGAAAGCAGAAAATGGGTATAAATGGTTAGTTTTCAGGTTGGCAGGATCTGTCAAGTGGTATGACATGGCGATCAATGATGGAGTTTCAATTATTTAGAATCTATACAAATGTCTTAGATTGAATATATGTTGCTAAATTTGCTGACAATACAAAGGTATGCTAGTGAGTAAATTGTGAAGAGGACAGAAGTCTGCAAACTGTTTCAAATCAAGGTGAGAGGAATGCACTATCTCTCTGAAGTTCCACTACTCCAATAGACACAATATATGTTAAAAATAGTTTTACCCAGTTATTGATATGGCCAATTATACATGCTAATCTATGTCTTTCAGAATACAAAACCACTAAAGAGGTTCCTTTAATAAACAGTGAAAGTACTGACTTATTGTAAAACTACACTTATTCAATAAATATGTAGTTTATTAACACAATTTGAAATATGGCAGTTTGAATATATATCCCTTGCAACACACATGGCAGTTACAAAAAAAAAATATTTCTCTGCAGAGGTCAACTGTGCTAAAATACTACATTCATGAAAAACATGATAAGATAGGAAATATTCCATATGGCTTTTGGTTTGGCATCCTCGTACATGTAGACAGATATAACTGGCATAGATGGCTATCATTAAATATATGCAGTTATTACTGGGATCTTTCAGTTGAGCAGTTTATCTGAAAATTGGTTAGTGGAATTATTTCAGAAACGTCTCAGTGAGAGAGCTGCAACAGTTTTTTTTCCAACAGTCACACTGGAATAATAGAAAATGCTCAAAACAGGTGGAAGAGGATGATTTGAGTGGCTTCTGTCAGCATGCTACACACCAAGTGAACTCCAATCAATATCAAATAGCCCTCATTCTGGACAGTCATAAACTCAGATATGTGACTTCCAGCAAAAAAGTTCAAATTGTTCGCTTAAAATCTGTGGCCTCTCATTAGGATCTTTAAACAAAAGTTTCCAAATCAAGTCCATACCTCCTCTTTCAAATCATTGAACTTTCATAATCCTATGAACATGAGTACTTAGAATATATTAATAATGGAAACACTCTCATAACACCCCCACTCTTGCAGAAATGAAATGCAATAATGAAACACAATGTATTGTGGACAAAAGAAGCAAAAATATAGAAAAAAAACTACCTTTACACAATCATTCTCATTTACTCTTTATATCTAACTAATATAGTTGTGGTTACAAAATTAGATGAGTGATAGAAAACTGAAAGTAACAGTCGATGGATTATTTTTCGGCTACAGGAAGTTTTATGATGGAATTCCCCAGGGATCAGTTTTGGGACTTCTGCTTTTCTTGATTTATGTTAGTAATCCAGATCTTGGTGTGCAGGGAACAGCTGCAAATTTTGCAGATGACATAAGAGTTGGAAGAAATATAAAATGTGAGGAGGACAGTGTGGAACTCCAAAAGGACATTGACAAGTTAGTGGAGTTGATTCATATGCGGTTGATGAAGTACAATGCGTAAAAGTGTGAAGTGATGCACTTTGGTAGGAAGAACATTGAAAAAGACAATAATAAGTACATGGTTCAATTCTAAAGGGGATGCAGGTGCAGAGGGACCTGGGTGCAGTTGTACACAGCTCAGTGAAGATGGCAGGACAAATAGAGAGCAGTTAATAAAGCATACAGTATCCTTGGTTTGATGAATAGGGGCATTGAGTAAAAGAACACTAAGTAAAGTTGAACTTGTATAAGACACTTGTTAGTTCTCAGCTGGAGTATTGTCTACAGTTGAGGTTGCCACATGACAAGAAAGATGTAAATGCAGAGCAAAGAGAGTGCAGAAGCAATTTACAGGAATAGTTCCAGGAATGAGAAACTCTAGTTATGGGGATATGTTGAAGAAGTTGGGGTTGTTTTCCTTGAAAAGAGTGCTAAGAGCAGATTTGATGGGGCTGTTCAAAAACCATGAGCAGACTGGATGGAGTAGATCAAGAGAAGCTTTTCTACCCACAAAGGGAACAAGAATGAGAAGGCATAAATTTAAAGTGCTGTGCAAAAGAAGCAAGGATGATATGAAAAAAACCTTTTCACTGAACAAGTAGTTAAGGTATCCACTGCTTGGAAGAGTGATAAAGGTAGGTTCAATTAAGACATTCAAGAGGGCATTAGATGATTATTTGGATAGAAGTAGTGTCCAAGGGATAAAGCCAGAGATTGACAATAAGTAATGATGCTCATCTGAACAACTGGTGCAGTCACGATGGGTCAAATGGCCCTCCGTGTATTGTAATAATTCTGTGATATGCCTCATACCATGTTGGCATTCAGATAATTCGAAGCATGGCTAAGTTCTAGATCAACAATCAGGAATTATGTTGTTTATTCCCTCAATGTCAATCTCAATTTCCTACCTTATCATTGCAAAACAACTTGTGCTGCATTAATTGAAGTAAGGCTATGTTGCCCAGCAATGGCAGGGTGCTGATAACGTAGGTTCAATCCTCCAATTTTCAATCCAGTTTACTGAGTATCTCCGACAAATCTGCCTGATGTAGTGACTGTGCATTTGTGCAATCAACACCATGGTCTGATCTTCTGCTTAGGCCTGAGAAAGTGCTGGCAGTCTTCTGAGTTCCAGCGACCTGGGGCATTACTTACTCACACAGCGGAGAAGGGCAGGTGATGTACCCATCAGAATTTGGCCTTAAATCTAATCTAGGAAGAGAACATACCAAGGTGAAATTCTCTGAGTTGGTGAAGGGTGCGGGCCAAACCTTTGCCAGTGCTTTCTTTGAGGGATTTGTGGCTTCTTCCTCAGAAGTGAACAGGAACTGATCAGGTGAGGGGCTGGTGTCTTCAGTGTGGAGATTATGCAGATGCCACTAGTACCTGCATAAGAGCAGAGAAGCTCTTAGTTGTGCAATAGGGGTAGCAGCTTGAACATCTGTAGACACAAACAATGGAGCAGCAAATTTTGAAGTGCACTTCCTGACATGTAGCATTTGAAGTGGGCGTAGCTGGGGTTTAAATATGAAGCTAATGGTATGGCCGGTGCAAGGTCTCAGCAGCAGTGAGCATTTCCATTATGAAGCAGCATGATCGAATATGAAAAACACCATACAGCCTGTATCATAATTAATGAGATAAATAGCAAAAGAGTGTTTGAGAAAAGCCAGCATTGGCGATTGCAGGAAATCCTTCCTGAAACTCCCTGGGAATAACACTTAATCAAAAGTGGGAAGGTTCAGCCAAATGTTTCAAGTTATTAAGTCTGCAATGTTTTGCTTACCAATCTTTCAATATATTCTGCAAGTTTCAACGATTGATGCACATGCACCCTGTAGTGGTTGTAACAAGGTCAGCCAGGTGGACCTCATAGAAAAAAACCAAAACAACTGCGGATGCTGTAAATCAGAAACAAAAACAGAAGTTGCTGATAAAGCTCAGCAGGTCTGGCAGCAACTGTGAAGAGAAATCAGAGCTAACGTTTCGGGTCCAGTGACCGTTCTGAGGAAGGGGTCTTGGTGATAGAATACTGGCCTCCGTGGAGATATTTCGCACCCCCGCACCCCCTTCCCCACCTCTTACTCCATCTTCCTTGTCCTTCTGTTCCTGCAGGCTCTTTAGAATTGTGTCATCAAGTCTATATTGCCTTTTCCTATACCTTTAGTTAAAATGCATCAATTCACATTTCTCCATGTTAGATTCCATTTGTCCTTTACCTGACCATTCTGTTAGCCCATCTGAGTACTGTTGCAGACAATTTATATCACCCTCATTGCTTGTAACTCTTTTATGTTTGGTACCATTGGCAGGTTTTGAAATTCTACTTAATAGCAACCCATGTGATAACAAGGCCTGGTGTGTAGGGATGGGGGAAAGCATGGGGAAAGGTGCTCAAGTCCTAAAATTGATTAACTCAATCTTGAGTCCAGAAGGCTGTAGAGTTTCCAAGCAGAATATGAGGTGCTGTCCTTCCAGTGTGCGCTCAGCAACAAGGCTGAGACAGAGATATTGGCCAGGGAACAAGGTGGTGTATTGAAGTGGCAAGCAACTGGAAGCTCAGGGTTTTTCTTGCGGACAGAATGTAGGTGTTCTACGAAGCAGTCACCCAGTCTACACTCCGTTCCCCAACGTAGCGGAGACCACATTGTGAGCAGCTAATACAGTGTTTCTCCAAGGATGCATTGCAGCATCTTTGCTAACTTT